AAGTACTGGTGGAAAAAAAAAAACAAAAACAAAGCTGCTGGGCTTTAACAGTAGGAAGCTTGCATTTTACTAGCCAGACCGGTGTTTTAGAAGGTGCCTTTCTGTTCAGGTTCCCATGAAGGCTCTATGCGAGCTCTGGCATGGCTTACTCTTAAAATACTCTTTTTGGGTATTTTTAACCTCTTCTCAAGCCACTGTATGCAGTTATAAAGAGCAGAGTTTGAGTATGGGGCAACTGAAGACTGAGAGATGGTGACCTACTGTCCCACTCCCTCTCTTGACTTACCCAGTGTTTCCCCAATTTTTCTTGGTTTTGCCTGGGCCAATTTACTTTGTGTTATTAAATGTGATGCTTTTAATTGGAAGTCTGTGACAGCCAGTGAATGACACAGTTTCACTATAGCTAAATGTTGCCAACGTGGGCTTTCACTGCACGCAAGCTGGTGTTCTTTTTTAAACTGGCAATAGTATGTTCGTGTCAAATGATGTGTTGTGCCAATTTATGAAGGTGACACTTAGCACAGTCCTGGTCACAATGAGATCTGAAAGGCAGGCTAGTAAAGCTCACATTTTGAGAAATCCATGGAATATTTTCTGTGCTTTTTACCACTTGGAATCCTTCTGCCAAATGTTGTTTTCAGTCTTGAGTGAGAAGGAAGGAAAGGAAAGGAAATCAGGATCCCCATCAAAGAGAAGAAAGAAAGAAGTCAGAATGACAAAGCAGACAAGGACAGATCCTGGGGGAAGACAGGTATACTCATTAATTGTATTTACATTTCAAAGACGAGTTAACTGCGGTGTTCTCAATCATATCCTACACTTGGGTTGCCTGCCACACACCGTGAATAATAAATGCACTTTGGAGGATAGAATAAGTGACCCAATAGGCTTCTTCCACTTTTAATTTCATGGGCGATCTTAATTTGAGAGGTCAGTACAAATGCCTATGGTAAGTGACAATTTTAGGCCAGTAATTACTAATTAAGACAGAAGGCAAGATGCTGGCTAAGGCACTTTCAAATAGATCACAGATAACCTTGCAGGAGCTGATTAACTCAAACAGAACACCTCCTTAGGTGATAGCTACCGAATGATACTTGGAACAATTTTTAAAATTAAAAGGGATGAGGGAAAAGGATTTATGAAACTCTTGGCTGAGTTTTCTCTGGAGAAAGAATTTTGATAATAAGTGGGATTAGCTGTTTGCCAATTAGCAGACAATTAGAACAAAGACATTTACCCAGTGGGCAAAAATCTTCTGTGATATACTCACACTCATCAAACCTGTTTATGCCGAAGGAGGATAAACAGTGCTGCGCCCACAGTGTCTTAGCTCTAGTGATGTGAGCAACACTGGCTGCAGCTACCGTGCCAACTGCACGTGGGCTGTGTGGGACTCGATGTGACAGTGCTTCACGTGGCAAGCACAGAACTGAGGACCCCAAGCTGTGCTCATGGATGACTGTGGATGATTTCCCAGGGGCCCACAAAAGAAAGTAGGAACAGCAGAGAAACTGTTTGTGGAGAAAATTAAGAACTGGGGGATTTTTAGTGACCTGCAAATCAGACAAGGTGGGAAGACATTGGCTTTACTCATATTAGTATCTGTTAAGGCAATCATCATCGGTAGATCAGAGAGAGTGTCAGACATTGGAAGCTTTTCTGAAAGTGTCCCTTGGATAGGTGAGGCCTCAAATGACCATAAATTCAGAGTGGCAGATGCAGTAAAGGAGAGCTAAGTCAGGCTGATGCTTTTTGTCTTTTTTTCCTGCAGCTTAGCAAGGATTTTTTCCATGTTTCCTACAAAATAGGGATATGTAGGCAGCACTGGTTGGCCAAAAGGTGGAGTTGGGATGGAGAGGCACTGGAACAGGTTGCCCAGAGAAGCTGTGGATGCCCCATCCCTGGAAGTGTTCAAGGCCTGGCTGGATGGGGCTTTGAGCAACCTGGTCTAGTGGGAGGTGTCCCTGCCCATGGCAGGGGCGTTGGAACTCGATGATCTTTAAGGTCCCTTCCAACCTAAACCATTCTATAATTATATGAATCTGTCTGATTTTCCTGTTCATGCTCCTTATTTCCATCCTCAGAATTTAAAAGATTCCTAGGTAAGAGCCATCTCTCCTAACTGAAGCATCCAAGAATCAGTGTTTAAGGCTGTGCTCCTCTCTAAGCTCCTTCCACAAGCAATGGAAAGAGATGAGCAGGTGCTGAACATGATCTCTCTAGTCCCAACAGCTCTTCAAGGTGTATTTCATGGTTCATCCTCTCAAGGGGATATTCCTTGCCATTAGCTCCGCAGGGGGCAAAGCTAGACTTACATACAGATCTATAGCCTAGATACCTAAATGAGGCCAGAAAGATTGTACTTTTCTGTTCTAAAATCCAGCTCAGAACAGCAGAGAGAACAAGAAGAACATGAATTAGGACCAAGCACTGCTCAGGAGTGCAGAGCATTTCCCTGCTGTATCCCTTGGCTCAAGGTAGTGCCTACCCCGAGGACTACAAATGCAGACTGTGATGTTGAAGTGAAGGAATGAACTCAGTCGTGGTTTTGCTACTGGCATCCTGATCAAAATGAGAATTTTGAAGAGAGCTTATGCCTTTATAACGTTTGTGACATGCATAAACGTGAGGAGGTATTAATACATGATCCAACCAAAGCCACATCTTTGCTTTCTTCCCCTGCATAGTCAGGGCCCTGTCCTGGGGCGGCTTCTTTTGCAAGAGGCTGAATTGAGTCTGATCCCAGAAAGCACTCAGCACCCTCCAGAGGCAACCATCATGAGTGGAAGACATCCCCTGTGGAAGCAGGTCTAACCCATGCCTTAGGCAGCACTTTGCTACACAAGAACTGGGCCTTTGCTGTTCATTTCATTCAAAGGAAGGACATTAACTCCTTGTTGAAGGGGAGGTTTGCTTTTAGAGCCACTGACAGTTGTCCAGAGATTAAAAATCCTTCCAGTTAGGCTAGTATTGTCCCTGTGAGATGGATCTTGTTTGGGAACATCTGATGCAGAGCCGGCAGACGAGGGTATCAGCATTAGAAGAAATGTAGTGGTGACTCATTGCACCCTAGGGAAGAACTGGAGATGATGAGCACCTTTCCTTCAGGGAATGCTGGAGCAGGCTAAACTCTTCCAAGAGTACCAGTCAGGTTCAGTTAAAATCCCTGTGTTTGTTTCTAAGAAAACGAAGCATCAGGTGTGCTTGAGGACGAGGACTGGCAGCTATATCAAAGGCATTTTTCTGGTGCGTTGTGTGGGTTAACAGCCTGTTGAACAGTAGGAGCAGACATGATGGAGAGGCTCAGCTGCAACGTGCTGCTGCCGCTGCTTACTGCAACCCGAAGCTGCATTGAAAAATAGGGAGATGCTGTGAAGTCCTTCTGGCAACGGGAAAAAAGTGTACAAAATGAAGGAAACGGTGTTGTCAGAGCCGAACAGCAGCAACATTTTGTGACTGAAAATTATTTTCTGCACTTGCACAACGGTACTAACATTTAGGGGAAAAAAAGGAGTGCTGCAGAGACAGTCATTACAGATGGAGGAGACTGATTAGCCCCTCTTGCTTTTCCACCTGAAAATACAAGATGTACTATGATACTGCTGATGTGAACTTCATGGGAGGAAGTAAAGGAAATGTGATTACAGATATTACATCCAAATTGAATTAAAGCTGCATTAAAAAACCTCAGATTACTGTATGATTCCATACTACGTTGGAAAACATGATATGCTTCTGCTACTGACAGACACATAAAGAACAGGCAGGGGCTTATTTCTCAGAAAACAAGTCTGATCTCTGACTTGCTGATTCACAAATCCACAGAAACAAAGGCAGGAAGTAAAATTACAAACAGACCTCCCCAGCAGGTAAATAATCATCAGCAAAGCAGCCCTGTTGTTTGGGACTTTGTTTGTTTTTCTTTCAAATATTTACTCTAGATTGCAACCTTAAACAAACTTATTTAGAGCCATTTCTTCATTGGATATGTGTAGCCATATATGCAGCCATTTCATTGGATAATGAATCTGATCTTTGCAAAAGGCGAATCTGTCGATAAAAGCATTAGTATTTCATGCTGATGTTAATAAATATTTTCTCTGTTAACTAGTGGTCACTGGACCACTTTTCTGTCCTATGCTCATTCACTGCACAGATTTAAATGAGTTATTAAATCCTTCTGACTCCTCCTAGTTTTGCTGACAGGGAGAAAGAGCAATCCTTCAGCTGGTTTATCATATTTATATATGCTGTATCCTTTAGCATACATGTCGAGCTCACTTTTAAAACTAATTTTTTAGGGGTCATGTCGTGGCATAAATGGAGGCGAATATCACTTTGCTTTCTTGGCTGTGACTGCTACAAGGCAATGAAAAAGATCTCTAGGCTATGACAGTGTCATGAGTTACTGCCTCTGCCATGAGGGCTCTATACCTTAGTAATTCTCATAAAAGCCTGTCTGTCTCGTATGACTGGAAGTATCATACAGGCTGACAAAGTGAACTGCAATAAAACAGTGCATCTTTCAGTTACTTCCCGTGCTACATTACATCAAGTGGCAGAGTACAATAAATTTTAGAATAAAAAGTTGAAATGAACAAGTATATAGTAATAAATGAATAACAAAGACTTTTAATGCACATGTAAAAAATAATCTGGCAATCACCTTCCAACTGTATTTTACTTGTTTTCAAGCTACAAAACACAGCTGGCAGGTGTTTATGTAAAGGGATCAGTGTGCTAAAATGTGCTCAGTCTGGAATAATAACTCTAGAAAAAAAAAATTCAATAGAGATGTATTTTAAGAACAAAATCAAAGAAAACAAAGTCATAGAACCTGAGAGTTTCAAAGCAGTCTCCTCCTCATACGTCCCCCTCTCCCCCAAAACAAACCCAAGGCTATAAAAAGCTTCAGGAAAGATTTTCAAAGGCGCTGAGCTTTCAAAAGGAAGAAAGCCCCTAAGTATTCTTTGTGCATTCCAATAAGGAAATTTTCCCTAGATCTTCCACACTTCAGTCTTTTCTGCGATCACGCACCAATTGGCATGGTCAAAATATGAATGAGTAATATGTAGCTCAGGAATATGATGCTCTATCAGCTCAGCAGGCTCCTCTTCTTTAAAAACACGGTGGTACCTCAGCCGGCCCCTACCAGGACCCGTCTCCTGTCCACTCTGTTGAGCTCACTCATTGACTACTTTCCATACAGAAGAGTCTGTTCTCCTTTTGTTCTGAGGTTGGCAGAAAGCTCCTTCTTTTGGGCGATGGTCTATTTTAAGTTGTTGTCTGACAGCTAATTCTTTCTGATGTGAAATCAGGTCAGGTAAACACACTCCGCGGCAATTGTGAAGACTCTCTGCAGCCATAGGGAGCTGTATAGTTGCTTGCCCTAATTCTGAATAGCAACTTCTGAAAGCCTTCAAGCAGCGTGACATGGGCAGCACAGGTTTAACAGCCACTTCAAAAGCTGTTGTATTTTCAAACCTCAGTTTGCAATGTAGAAAAAACTCAGAAGCGCATTTCAGAAAGCCATGTTCTCTGGGTTTTTTTCGGCTTTTTTTTTTTGCTGAACACCGTAATTGCAGAATCTAATGAGCTCTTCTTGGTGCCACTGATCACCCACATCTAATACCGAGTCAAGTGATCTTGAGAACAGAGACGCTGAACACCGTAATTGCAGAATCTAATGAGCTCTTCTTGGTGCCACTGATCACCCACATCTAATACCGAGTCAAGTGATCTTGAGAACAGAGACCGTCTCAGAGATTTCTCTAGCACCGTGCACGGTGCTTTTTTTTCCCCTCCACAGGAGGAGCTCCTTGCTGTCCTGTGTACCTCTGAAGTCCCATCCAACTTATGACAGGGCTGGTTCAAAGCCATCTCTTTGTCCTTGTGAAGAATTGATTTTTGTACTCCACGTGAGCAAGGCTCACCCGAGGAGCAGGAAGGAGGTGAAGGATTCCAAGGAACAAAGACATCTTGCTTTTCAAATCTGCTCCATTTTTGCTCCATTGCCCACACATATATCATTATCTGGCCTCCTACTCTCAAGATGCGAGCCATCTCTTTTATTGCTCGCATGCGCCTCTCTTCTGCTGAAAAATGGTGAATCACTAGAACAGAACAGATAAGGTGAATAAGTATCCCTTGAGGCACTAATGAATACAGAGTATAAGGACAAGGACTGGCTCTGACACGCTGGCAGCCGGTGGTTTGCACCACAGGAATACATCATTTATCTTCCATTGTGCTATGTGTTATTGTACTGTCTCTAACATTGTGCTGTCTCTAACTCTAAAGAGTTCATAACATACTGACTTATTTTAAAAACACAGCAGAATTTAGTAACGTTGAATCAAATGACATCTTTCAGATCGTCAATAAACAACACAACAGTCTTGTTTTCTCAATGAAAGTCTACCACTTGGTCAGTGGCAAAGCAACCTGGCCCCTTTTCACCCTCACCTAATTCTCATCTGTAGCCAGAAAAAAGCACTTCTGAAAGACCAAGGCCATACATGGTCCTTGCAACAGCCGTGCTAATGATCCTGCTGATGATACCCATTAAAAAAAGGACTAGGTTAAAAGTGCCTGCCCATTTCTCCTCCATTATTGACAGATGTCAGTAACACAGCAGAAAAAATGAACAGTCACTATCAGCCTGGGATAGATTTAAATTATCAACATATGGGTGAAAGAAAAAGTCATAGAGTCACAAAGTCACAGAATCACAATATCACAGAATGGTCAGGGTTGGAAGGGACCTCTGGACATCATCTAGTCCAACCCCCCTGCCAGGGCAGGGTCACCTACAGCAGGGTGCACAGGACAGCGTCCAGGTGGGTTTTGAATGTCTCCAGAGTGGGAGACTCCACCACCTCTCTGGGCAGCCTGTGCCAGTGCTCTGCCACCCTCAAAGGAAAGAAGTTCCTCCTCATGTTTAGGTGGAACTTCCTATGCTGAAGTTTGTGCACATTACCTCTTGTTCTATTACTGGCCACCACTGAAAAAAGACTATTCCCACCCCCCTGGCACCCTCTCTTTAAGTATTTATAAACATTGATAAGAACCCCCCTCAGTCTTCTTTTCTCTGGACTAAAAAGACCCAAGGGCCTCAGCCGTTCCTCATAAGAAAGATGCTCCAATCCCTTAAAAATCTTTGTAGCCTTTTGCTGTACCCTCTCCAGCACTTCCCTATCAGCATTTGTCTATTTCTGCCATTGACAAGCATATATCACAAAACCAAAAAATTAGATAATCCCATTCTTGCTTCATAAGCCCCACCAGCCCACAAACAAGCGTGACCTGGAGAACACCTCATAGTTATGATAGCGAAACGCAAGCAGCACAGCTTTGCTTGACTCAGAGCTGAGTTTAAATTTGACTCTCGTTTCAATTAAAAAGAAAAGTTGCCCCAAAAAAGGGCAATTGGTCTCCAGATTTGGCAGGAATTTGCCAAAAGGCAGCTCCACAGGTTTACTCCTGCTCTCAGACTGTACAGCTCTAGAGCAATTCGCAACAGATGTCGAGGTTGATCAGGTCTTGGTGCACAGGAGGGACTTCAGCAAAGATTCAGCTACATCAAATGAATGTTACATGAGAAATAAGAACAGGAAACAATCCTGGAATAGTGCTGAAAAGGAGAGGGCACATATTAAAGATGCTGAAACCAAAACCCAATAGAATTAGTGATATTTATCCAACCTTATATTTTCCTCGGTGAAAATGCCCGTGCCAGTTTGGGCAGATATTTCTACACATACCAATTCAGGTTACAATGACAAGCCAGCTTTTGGTTAAGCTGCTGAGGTTGTTTCCACAGAAAAATAACAGAACTTTCAAGGGAATAAAAAAGATGCGAGCTTTCAATTCTTTCTATATTTTCTATATTTTCAATTCTTTCTATATAAATATAAGTACAGAAAATGCTAGCAGAAACTCTCTATCTGCCATCTCTCTGTGTCTGTCAGAGCGGCCATTCACCATCAGATCCATTTTGCCTCAGAAAAAGAGATACTTTACAATTAAAAAAATAACAGCATGCAATCCAGCTGAGATAGGAAAACACTCTCCCTGCAATGAATGATGCATTCAGAGCCTCGGCGGCAATGTGAGGATCAAAAGGCAAGCTTTGAAGAAATGGGGTCTTTTAACATTTAGTTATTCAGCTGCTCTGCCTGTAGGTTTCACTTGTTTGAGATGAACAGAAATCAATTCCAAAAGCTCAGGTCTTCTAGCACTAGTCAAGTCATTGACATTGAAACATTATGGCCTTTTTAATTAAAAAAGCATCAAGTATCATTTAAGAAATTACAGCATACTAATAAAATCTCACGCTGAGCAAAACTTCAGTGTTGTCAAGATAAATTTGTCAGATAATTTTAAAAGCTATGGGTGATGTATTCCATTAAAAAATGCATAAGTCAAGGAAACAGAGCATCTGCATGGCACAATGTCACACTATTCTGAAATCACAGATTAGCACACGAATTATTGAACGCTTGTTTTTAATCAAAGCCAAACCTGTCAGGATCCAAGATCACCAAACAGCCACATTCACCTGAAGCAGGTTGCTTATGAAAAATAATTTCTTTCTTTTGCTTGACATTAAATTCCTTGTATGTTGAAACTGGGTTTAAACTGAGCAATCTATGCGGTGCAATAAAGGTGCCATTTCAGAGATGGAGCTGCTCACGTCAGGTGGCAGTGAGGCACAAAGACTCGCTGAGGGCCTGATTGCAGCCCAGCAGCAACACGAACCTGCTTCCCTCCCCTCCAGAGGAAATGGTTCAAACCTGCTTCTCCTGCGGTTCCCCTCATGCTGACGATTAGATGGCACTGGGGTGATAGTTCATAGAATCACAGAATGGTTTGGGTTGGAAGGTACCTTCAAAAATCATGTAGTCCAACCCCCCTGCCATGGGCAGGGACACATTGTGCTAGATTATGTTGTCAAAGCCCCATCCAGCCTGGCCTTGAACACCTCCAGGGATGGGGCATCCAAAACTTCTCTGGGCAGCTTGTTCCAGTGCCTCACCACCCTCAGCGTAAAAAAATTCTTCCTAACATCGAATCTAAATCTCCCTTCTTTTGGTTTAAAAGCATTGCCCCTGTCACTACACGCCCTGGTAAAAAGTCTCACTCCATCTTTCTTACAAGACCCATTTAAGCATTGAAAGACCACACTAAGGTCTCCCTGGAGTCTTTCAATGCTACACCCCTAGAACAATCTTTCAACAGCTGTTCAACATATTTTAAGATGATTTCCCACCATGCAAACACTATAAAACAAGGGTCCAGATGCTTGAAAGTGCATTTGTCATAATGACTGGTACTTTAAATGAAAATTAGTTTTGTCCTAGATTACAATAAATATAGAAGCTTGCAGGTGGTGAAAACAATATCAGGGCAGAGGAAACTCATCCTGGGTCGGAGCAAACATCCCTCCAGAGCGGGGCTGTGGCAGCAGTCAGCACCAGATGTTCAGGAAAGAAAGAAGGGAAGAACAGTGATGCTCTCTCCTCCGGTGGTCGGCAGCCTAAGAGCTTCCTCAGCCACAGGCCAGAGCTTGTATGTAATAGCCAGTGATGAATCTGTCCTCCATAGATACTTTCTTGGACTCACTTGTACTTCTGGTTACACACATTTACATGTCAAAGCAATCTGCAATTTAATTGTATATTTTTTTTTTGAAAAGTAGTTCCTTCTG